TTTTTGCAGGACCTTTGAACATCTGTTCTCCAGAAGCTGTTCTTTCTCAAGTATACTTCGCCAAGCTGTCAGTGAGTGTGCATACAGGGGTCAGAGCAGCAGCAGCACCGCAGGCAGATTTGTCATCACCTCCAAGCACTGGATCCAAGAAAAAAGCCTGTTTTCAAATGAGTTTTGCATCCTCCTGGAAAGTCTCCAGGTTTCTGCAGGAGTTCCAGACTAGGAAGCTATGTCACTGCCTGATATGGAAGCCAACATGCTGCAGGACTAAGTTCTGTGCAGCCTTCTACATAGGCTGTCTTTGGTTTTGAAGAGGGTAATGCATCCCAGAGTCAGAGTGCAGGAAAGATATGTGCCCTTGAACAGGCAGGTGCCTTGATGACAGGTCCTTCTGCTGCCAGGCTCTGCCTTCACTCCCTCCTTCCAGCTGTGGGACATTTTATTTCATAAAAGTTAGGACTCCCACTTCTGAATTAACCACCTCTATCAGTGTTAAATGAATTTCAGAATTTCTTTTGTGTAGTTGTAACTATGTTGGCCTTTGAATTCATGCATGGTGGCAATATGGTGTTCAGGCACAAAACTGTATCCCCTGGATCTACGTATCCGGGCTGGGAATTTCTGATAATGTTTCTATTCAATCTGTACACAGTAGTTTTTTTAGCATGTTGCTTGTGTCACCAAACTTAACTAGAGAATTGCAGCTGTATCTGCAGTCAGATCAAGTCACTCCGGCAAAATCAAAGGGAAAGATTATGCAGCTCCCTTTGTAGCTAACCCTGGACTTCAGTATTTGCAGTCACGGGTCAAAACTCTTCGTTGTGTTTTTTTTTTTTTTTTTTTTTTGACACAACTCATTCCGAGTTGGTACATGACTGTAAGAGACACTTTCCTTTGGCACTTAGGAGGCAGGCTCTGCTGCCAAACACTCCTGTCTGTGACTGCAGGACTTAAGAGCTTTTTGGCGCCTGGGAGAGATGTACATGTATTCTGCTGCCTGGGGCCATTTCCTGACTTACGTGTTCTTTCCTTGCCAGCAGGCTGCCAGACAACATCCCAGGAGAGTACAGGGGATAACTGCATCCTAAAGAATCCAAGATGTTACAGCCTGGGAGAAAACTCGATACCAAGGCAGGCATCAGGAGAGAAACATGGAGAGGAGAAGCAGCTGATAGATTCCAAGAGCCTGAGGAAGAGGAGATCTTTTCTCAAAACCAATTACACCTCACAGGTCACTTTCCCATTGGCTGTACCAGGCTCTCTGCAGAGCTGCTGCTCCTGGCCACCCACCCCACCGCTCCCTGCTCAGCCCTCAGACCCACCTTCTTTGGAGAAGGATGCAGAAATGGGAACACCTGCCCCCCAGACCCAGGGAGACTCTGCTGGCACAAACTCGTCCTCCGGTGCGATGGAAATGGAGCCTGACACCATGGAAACAAAGTCAGTGACTGATTTGGTGGTTTCTTCCATTTCAGCTGTTCGCTTGCAAGGTGACCAGAGGGAGGAGAGTGCAGATGTTGCTGTAGAGGTGGATAAACTCTGTCCTGCACACGCTGTACTCCCAACTTCCCTGTTCCGAGAGGAAGCCGTGCACCTTCCCCAGGAACAAAGCAGTGCTATCCAGGAGAGCCCCACAGTGAAGAGACCAAGTGACGAAAGTTGTGTGACCGCCAAAGACCAGGTAGCCCAGGCACCACTGGAAGGGCAGTGTGATGTGATGGAACCCAAGCACGAGGCTGGCAGGTTCCAAGGCCAAGAGATGGCCTGCCCTGCTGATGAATGTGCTCTGCCAGCTTCGTCTTGTAGTGCTTCGCCCCATGGGGTGGCCAAGGAGCAGGATCTGCTTCCCACAGCTTGGAAGCAAGTGGCATGTGAGGAGCCTGTCCAGGCTCCGTGTGGTGACGAAGGAAAAGATAACCTCGATGGCTGTGCTGAGAGCAGGAGTGACAGCGCCTTGTCACAGGCAAAAAGCAGACAAGCAATAAGCAAGGAGGCCTTAAAGAAGGCGCACGATAAAAATCATGTGGGTTTTCCAGATGCAAGGCAGCTGTTAGCAAATGGCAGCAGCAGTTCAGGGGTTATAGCTCACCTCTCCTGGCTCTCATTTCAGGTGAGGTCAGACCCCATATCGCCCGGCCCATCTCAGAAGAGAGGGCACGACCCTCTAGAGCTTTTGGACTCTCAGAGGACCACTGCGTGCATGGGGGATGATACTGTCAGAAAGGAGATGCAGACATCATCAGCTACACTACCTCTTGAGAAAGAGTTGGAAAGCAAGCGTGGGGTGGTTGAAGGGGAGCCCAGAAAAGACACAGAAGATGTGGCTCATGAGCATTCTTGGCCTGTTCAGGCTCCTTTTCTTAGAGAACAGTCTGCCACAGTGGGGAAAGACACTCTCCAAACCAGAGAGCTTTCTATCTCCTCAGACCCAATTCCCTCATTGGGCTCACGGGGGAAAACAGAAGGAGACAATGGGGATTCAAATCACTCCTTCCTCTGCTTTAATCACAAGAAGGATGAGCAGGCGGCTGCCAGGCCCATCCTGACCAGGTCTACGGGATTTTCTGTGATGAAGAAGACATCGGCACAATTTGGGATGGACAAGTGCAGCTGTCAGCTGTCCTACGTCAGCTGTTTCCATAGGCCCAATGAAGACAGAAAGCAGGAAACCACCATTCCCAAGTGCAGCATGTTTCTGCAGCCTGTCACTACTCCACCATCCACCAGCTCTGGTCTTCCTGGGACCCCTGCAGGTAGTCACCCCATTGCTTGGGACAGAGCGCTGGGCCCTGAAGTCCAAGCCCTCAGCCAACTGAAGGACCAAGCGTGGATGAGCCATGCAGATTTCCCAGGCTTCCTAGCCTACACTGCAGAGCTCCAGGAAGTTGTGGGGAACCTCTCTGGGAACCAAGCAACCCACCTGCAAGACCGATGTGCAGAGCAAAGTGCTGAGAGCAAAGATGCCCTCGGCTCGGCCTCTCAGGTCCTGCTGTCCAGCTGCAAGGAGCTTCTGAAAACAGAGCGTCCGCTTGAGGAGCTGCAGGAGGTGTTGAGGGTGACGTTTGACCACCTTGTTCAGCTGGCAGTGGCCTGCTTCCAGGTGACGCATTGCCAGCTATGCAGGCAGAGGCAGCAGGAGCTCAGGGCTGCTCTCTTGGACGTGGTGGGCACCTACTACCAGCTAGTGCAGGCTGTTCACCAGCAGCTTTGCAGGGAAGGCTGCCCAGACCTGGGTACCACGCTGCTGACACGCCAGCACACAGCCCTTACTGCTGCCATGTTTTGCCTCCTGCAGCAGTTCAGGGTCCCCCCGTTGTGACAGGGCAGTTGGTGAGTGCGGAGGAGCCTCCCCACGTTTCATTCATGTATCACTAGGCTCCCCCCACACGGGACATTTAACCCCCACAGCTCAGCAAATGGTCATGCAAGGACACCTCTGTGTGTCAAGTGACTTCCACCAACACCTGCCTAGTTCAGGGGTGGCCATGGGACAGAGCGTGTGCCACTCCAGCCTCGCTTTATCTAGTGATGTGTATACAAGCTCTCATAATGTGCAAACTCACAGAGCGCTTCATAGCTTATCTATGTAGCCTGGGATTTGTCCTTCAGCTCCCCAGCACCTTGCAGATAGCCAGTCAGATAAGTGTTGTCCTAGCCTCCTCTGTCACCTGCGGAGCACACACCCCAGGCAGGGAGGTGACCAAGCGAGCTCCAAAGGAGGGTGAGATCAGTCTGGTCCACCAAAGAGAGCTGGGCTGTTCTGCTGACTCACTGTGGTTGACCTGTGATGGAAACCACTTTGGGAAGAAGAATTATTCTGCTTCTCCTTGCAAATAGAGAGAAGGTTGTCCCAGGCTGGGGATGCAGCGCCATATCCTGTCCTCCTGCTGTAGTTTTCTGTGTGTCAGCCTTATCTATTTACAGTTGCTAATGCAGAAGAAAGTCCCTAATCAGCAGCCTCTCCCAGTGCTAGCCTTGCCACCAAATAGCTACCTAATGCTCCCTGTCTTCCAAAAAAGGGGATAAGTCTTGAAGACAGAAGTGCCAACTTTGCAGCTGTTGACATAACCCGTTATGCCAGCCTTCCTTTAAGGCACGCCACTTTTCCTGACCTTCTAATCAATAGCTGCACAAAGTGCTAGGTACCCCTAGCTAGATACGAGCTATTAGCCCTCGAACCTATCCTAATTGAGCACCTCTAGTGAATGTGTGCTTTCCAGTGCTGGAGGTGCATCCTCAGCAATCTGGTGGCAAAGAGGGTTGCAGGTCCCTGACTGCTGGCTGAGGCTGTGCAGCATCCTGTCCAGTCTGGCCTTGGGCACCACCTGGGATGGGGTATCACAGCTGCTCTGCCTAACCATGGGCAGCCTGCTGTCCTGGCTGCAAAGGCCAAGGTGCTTTCAGCCACGTGGCAGGGTAGGTGAATAGTTCACCCAAGCAGGATTTCCTGACACTTCATCACTGGCAGGTGGTTTCAGCTAGTATGTGGTGTTGCCCTGCAAATTCAGGGGCTGAATCCAGAAGTTAAAATCTTACACCGAAGCCAAAATGCTGTCCTTGGCAGAGCTGCAGTGACATCTAACTACCTACATCTAACTACAGCTGATGAGCATGGAACACGAATACAAGGAGGAAGAGCCCATAGCACGTAGTAAAGCAACAGGCACCTGCAAACACAACTGCAGCCTCTACGGGGAGGAACCACCTTCTGACAGTTTGTCTCATGAATACCAAATTCCTGGTGGTGTCAAAGACCCTAGGAGTGAAGAAGAGATGAAGATGGAAGCAAAGGTGACAGGAATTTACCTGCAAAGCCCTCTACGTCCTTCTTGGACAGTCAATGATAGTGGGTTTGGCTTTTCTGTGTACTTGAAGGGTTTTTTAACTGACAGTGACTGAAGTAACATTATCTTACGTGCATCAGAAGTGTTCTCTGCTCAGGCCACAGTGCGTCAGTACGTGACAGTGGACAAGACATCGGTTACTGTAAGGAGGCAATAGAAATTTAAATACTTTATTTTACATAGATTGTGACCAGCATGCACAGGATTCACTACACGCTTCAGCAGCACAGCAAGACACCAAGTCTTCAATACAAGTAGGAAGAAAATATGATGTGGTGCACCTGGGCACTGTTTCTCTATTAGCTTTGGATCGCTTCCCATCCTCTGCTCACTTAGAACAGTACTGTCCTTTTCCATGGGAAGGACTGTTATTAACTGGTGTGCTCTACAATTCTTCCTATTTAATCCTGTTTAAAAAAAAAAAAAATAATAATAATCCTACCAACTCTTTGTTGATCTCAGGGCTCAGCTGGCTTCTGTTTTCTGTTCAGGGTACTAAGTCATTTCCAGCACTGTGCTGCTGAGGCAGAACCTGTCACTCTTGCCAAGGTCGGTATGTAAGTAAATTTAGGCAGAGCTGTTTTCTCTGCACACATTCACACTGGTGCCTCTGCTTGAAATATGCAGTTTGCTACTCTTGCTTGCACAGCTCCTTAACTTTCAGGAAATAAAGAGTTTTCTTGTGCGTTGTCATGCTGAGGTGTTTTCACTGATTTCTCTCCGTCTGGAAGTACGTAGCCTTTTCCAGAAGAAACTCCAGCTTTCAAAGCATCTGGCCAACTTTGGGTTTTGTAGTAAGTCGATAAGACATCAAAGACTGTTGGGAACAAAAAGACTTTTAACATGGCAGTAGCAGGCACAAGGCCTGATAAAACAAATGCCTGCCATCACAGTTTCCCCCACTACTCAGTATCATGCCTCCATTACTGATGACTCTTCAGGATGTCATAGCCTCAGCCACTTGGGCAGCGGGCAGGACACAGCTCAGCCCCTCACCTTGATTAATTGCCAGCGTCTCTGAGTAGTAGTTCTTGGAGTTCATGGATTTTACCATGTACTCACGAATTGGAAGGCGGGCAGTTTGCAAGGACTGCTCTTGTGCCCTTTGCAGGGTCAGGTTCTGCAAAGGAAGCGAGAGCAAGTTACACAACACGCACATCACAGAATCACCAAGGCTGGAAAAGACCTCCAAAATCATCCTGTCCAACAGTCCACCTATCACCAATATTTCCCACTAACCCACGTCCCTCACTACAACATCTAAACATTTCGTGAATACTTCCAGGGACAGTGGCTCCACCACCACCCTGGGCAGCTCATTCCAGTGCCTGACTGCTCTCCTGGAGAATTAATTCCTAATGTCCAACCTGAACCTCTGCTGGTGCAACTTCAGGCCACCACCTCTCATCCTATCACTAGTTCCATGGGAACAGAGACCAACCCCCACCTCAGCACAACCTCCCTTCAGGAAGCTGTAGAGAGTGATAAGATCTCCCCTGAGCCTCCTCTTCTCCTCCCTCAGCTGCTCCCCATCAGACCTTTCATAGCTCCATTGCCCTTCTCTGGACAAGCTCCAGGGCCTCAATGTCTTTAATGCAGTGTGGGACCCAACACTGAACACAGCACTTGATGAGGTGGGGCCTCACCAGGGCTGAGTATAGAGGTCTGATCACCTCCTCCTCCTGCTGGCTGCACTACTTCTAGTACAAGCCAGGACGCCATTGGCCTTCTTGACCACCTGGGCACACTGCTGGCTAATGTTCAGCTGAATGCCAGCTGAAGTTCCTAGATCATTCTCTTCCATCAGCTTGCCAGCTGCTTTGCCCCAGGCTCGTAGCACTGCCTGGGCTTGTTGCTGCCAAAGCACAGGTCCTGGCATTTGGTCTTGCTGAACTTCATCCCACTGGCTTCAGCCCAGCCTGTCCAGATCCCTCTGGAGGGCCTTCCTATCCCCAGGCAGATCCACATTTCCCTGCAGCTGGGTGTCACCTGCAAACGTACTGAGGATGCACTCAATGCCCTCATTGCTAAAGGTACTGAACAGGACAGGCCCCAGTACCAACCCCTGGGGAACACCAGTGCTGACAGGACACTGAATGGCACTCCATTCACCACCACTCTCTGGTCCCAACCTTCCAGCCACTTCTTTACCTAGCCAAGAGTGCACCTGTCCAAGCCACGGGCTGCCAGCTTCTGCAGAATGCTGTGGGAGACAGTGTCAAAGGCTATGCTGAAGTCTACGTAGACCACGTCAACAACCTTTCCCACGCCCACCAGGCAGGCCACTCGATTGTAAAAGATCAGGTTGGTCAAGCAGGACCTGCCTTTCATGAGCCCATGCTGGCTGGGCCCGATCCCCCAAGCCGTCCCGCACACTGTGTGATCTCCCTTGAGACAACCTGCTCCATAACCTTCCCCAGCACCGAGGTCAGGCTGACAGGTCTGTAGTTCCCAGATCCACCTTATGACCCTTCCTGTAGATGGGAGTCACGCTGGCAAGCCTCCGACCCTCCGGGACCTCTCTGGTTGACCAGGAACTCCGACATGTGATGGAAAGCAGCACAGCAATCACCTCCACCGCTCCCTCTGCACCCTTGGGTGGATCCCATCCGGCCCCGTGGACTTGTGGCAGTCCAGGTGGAGTAGTAGGTCTCCCACTGCTTCCTCCTGAATCCACCGTTTCCTCCTGAATTGCGGGGGTTTCTTCTGCTCGCCATCCAAGACTTCCAGGTCAGGGGGTAGAGGACCCCACAGATGATCGACAGATGCAAAGAAGGCACTGAGAAACTCAGCCTCTTCCTTATCCTCAGTGCTCACATTCCCCTCCGCAGCCAGCAGAGGATGGAGATTCTCCTTGGTCCTCCTCTTACTGTTAACAAACTCGCAAAAAAGATTTTCATTTTCTTTTATCCCAATGGCCATGCTGAGTTCAAGCTGCGCTTCTGCCTTTCTGATTTTCTCCCTGCACATCCTAACAACTTCTCTGCACTCTCCCCAAGGTGTCCATCCCTTCTTCCACAAGAGGAAGATTCTTTTCCTCCTGGAGCCTCAGGAAAAGCTCCCCTGTTCATCCACACCGGTCTTCCTTGCCAGCTCATCTCACGGCACAGTAGGAGAGCCTGCTCCTTTAAAGACTTTGTCCTTGAGGAGCACCCTTCCTGGACCCCTCTATCCTCCAGGACTGAATCCCAAGGAACTCTCCTTATAGTGTCCTGAACATTCAAAGTCCGCCCTCCAGAAGTCCAAGGCAGCAGTTCTGCTGTCCCCTTTCTTGGCTCCACCATCAATAACTCTACCATTTCATGGTCACCCTAACCTTAACCCTCCCTCTGTCCAAGACAGCTCCTGACCTCCACATCTCCCCACCAGTTCTCTGCTTGTGAATAGCAGGTCTAGTGGGGCACCTCCTCTGGTAGGCTCTCTGACCAGCTGCAAAAAGAAGTTATCATCTACCACACACTCTAGAAACCTCCCAGACAGCTTCTTCCACGTTGTGTTGTATTTCCAGCATGCCTGAGGGAAGGTGAAGTCCCCCACGAAACAAGGGCTGGCGACCGCGCAACCTCTGTCAGCTGTTTGCAGAACGCCTCAAGTCTCTTCATCCTGGTTAGGTGGTCTATAACAGACCCCCACCAGGATGTCTGCTTCGTTGGCCCTTCCCTTGATCCTTACCCATTGGGATTCAACCCTGCCAGCCCGGAGCTCAACAACATCAAAGCGCTCTCTAACACAGAGAACCACACCACTGCCCCTGCCCTTCCTTGCCTGTCTCTTCTGAAGAGCTTACAGCCATCCACGGCAGTACTCCAGTTGTGGGAGTGATCCCATCCTGTTTCTGTAACGGCAACTAAGTCATAGTTTGCCTGCCACAGAATGGCCTCCAGCTCCTCCTGCTTGTTGCCCACGATGATGTGCTGATGTAGATGCAAATCCATAGCATGCATATCACTTGTGGAACATGCAGCTATGAGCCTGGAAACTGTAGAAGGGTTGATTTCACCCAGGCTGTTCTGGTCCCAGCCTGGTGCTGGAGCCAAGCAGAACCTTGGGGTTCTGTGGGAAAACGGATAGTGACACAACAGCAATGCTTCAAAGCTGCAACAGTGAGTGCTGCCACTGGGATGTCTCTGCTCTCAGACAAGAGTGAGGCAGACCAGACCTTCAGGTTTCAACAGCTTTGAACCCACCTTATGTATACTTTCATCCACCAGGCCTCCGAGGACGTACACTTTTTTGGGATCAATATCTTCAAGGACTAGAAGAAGATAAGCACATGCTCATCACTATGCAACAGTAAAATCACGCACTGCACCATTCTTCAGGAAAGGCCCATCTTACACAAGGAAGCCCAAGCCGCAGTCACCCTTCACCCTGCCTGCAAAAAGCTGAGGCTTCTAAGGCAGGAGCATCTGCCTGAATCTGCTGGCAGCGTGACAAGGGGAGAGCGTGATGGAAGAGAAACTCCTAAAAATAAAGTCTTGAGGATCAATCTTTGCCTCCATTCTGCTTAGGCAAGTACAACACTTACCGTTCTCAGAGTCAGGAGTGAGATAAACAATTGCATCCAGAGGGAACAGATCCAGGTAGCTTTCTTGAGTTGTATCCATCTGAAAAACACAACACAGTGAGAAAAGCCCACGAGCTGCTGTCCATCTGCCACCTGTCCCTGGGCAGACAGAAGCACGCCAGAACCAACAGCACTGCTTCAATTCAGTTCAATGCCTACAGATAAAGCCAGAATAGTGGAACTGAGATGCCTCTTTATTTATTTATTTATTTTTAAATTGAGAACAAATAGCTTAAGAACCATTAAATTCTCTTGTGAAAATCTCTAGAACGTGCTTTTAGGTAGTTACTGCTTATCTTCTTTTAAATGAGACTGCAATACCCGAGAGACTGGAGTCATTAAGGCTGGAGAAGTGGAGTCGCCGAGCCCCATCTCAGCCTCCCCGCCGTGCCAACGCCCTTACCAGGTATCCGGAGAAGCCGTCGTTCATGCGGAGGCACTCGCGGTGGATAGGCGATCCCGGCACCAATTCGGTCAGGCAAAGCCAGAAGGGCCGCTCGGCCCGCCTGTTAGCGCCGTACAGCCGGCGGATCTGCGCGGCCAGCCGGCTCGTCTCCTTCCGACAGAGCGGAGCGCCGCGTCACGGCGGCCCCGGAGCGCAGCGACCGAGCGGAGCGCAGCGCCGCGCCGCACCGCGGGGCTTTCCGTGCGCAGGGAGCGGCGGGCCGGCACTTACCTTGGGCGTCATGCGGTCGGCCACGCCGAGATCCACGCACAGCCGCGGGCCCGCCGCGCGGGCATCCAGGAGCCGCTCCTCCGCCGCGGCTCTGCCGCGCTGCCGGGCGGCTCCTGCGGGGCACAGCGCGGAGGGCAGCCCTGCCCCGCTCAGCCCCGCTCAGCCCCGCTCAGCCCAGCCCTGCCCGACCCCGCACCCCGTGCCGCCCCCACCTCGACCCTCGGGGCGCCGCGCTCTGTTCCGCTCCCGCTCCTGCGGCCGCCGCCGTCGCCGCGCCGCCAACACGCGCTCCCAGCGCCTCCGCTTCCGCAGGACGTTCCTCTGCGGGGCGGCGCGGCGCGGTCAGGCTCGGGGAGGTTGCCGGCACCGCGGCCGCGCTGCCCCGCTCCGCCCCGCACGCACCGAGCACGGAGCCTCGCCGGAACCCGTCGGCCCGAGCCGCAGCAGCGCGAGCGCCCCGCGTGCCGCTTCCACCTCCGCTTCCACCTCCACCGGCGCGGGTTCTCCTGCCGCGCTACCGCCCTCCATCGCCGCCGCGGGACGGGGAGGGGCGGGGCGGGGCGGAGCCGAGCCGGCTACAGCCTCCCGGTTCGGCCCCCAGCTGCTCTCCGCGGTGGCGACGGAGGACGGCCATGAGCGGCTCCCGCCTGCTGCGCGGCCTGCCCGTGAGTAGGGGAACCGACCGACAGACACACAGACCGACGGATCGACCGACTGACCCCGCCGCGGGGCCGTTTCCTCCCTCTGTTCTGCGGCCGTGCTGTGTGTGTGTGCGTGTGTATGTGTGCAGCTATGGGCCGCCTCCCGCGGGCTGTGCTGCAAAGCCCCGGCGCTGCTCGGTGCGCAGGAAAAGCCCTCCGGCCCCGCGCCGTGCTTTGGTTCGGCTGTGCTGCCTTCCTGCTTAGCGCTGCCATCCTGGGTCGGTTCTCCTGCGCTGCCGTCCCGTTGCGCGCACGGACGCTGACCTCGCTCTGCTCTTTGGTTGTCCCCGTTACTCATTGACGCTGTTGGCAGGACACGGACGTTTCTGGAACGGCCCTGGGCTGGCACCCAACTGCACCCACGGCTGCGCGGCCAGCAGGGCTCGTAGCCATCAAACACCACCGCGTGTCTGCACGGACTGCAGGAGGCGGCTCGTGTGAGCACCGAGCCTTTCCCAGTGGCTTTGGTGTGTCAGTGGTATTCGTTTTACTTCGGTGGCCCGAATCTGGAGCTGCTTCCCCTCCTGCAGGAGGGAGGCTTGCTTTCTTGGAGTGAGGTGGATCAGAAAAGAGGAAAAAAAAAAAAAATCCTGAATGCTGTAGCGCTGTCAGCTACTGAGGAAGGAAAATTTCTTAGGGTTCTGGTTCAGCGGTGGTGCAGAGTGAAAGCCCGCAATCAGCCAGGACTGCATGGCACAGCAGCCCCAGCCCACTCTCTGACATGGGCATGCAGGATGCAGGCGAGGCTCCCACAGGCCCGATGTCCACCCTGCAGCACAGTGCGAGGCCAGAAGCAAGGCTGGGTTTTCTTTCCCATGTGCCAGCTGCCCTGCCAGCAGAGCACAGAAGGATGCAGGCACCCACAAGTCCTGCCACAGCAGCTGAGAAACAGTCGTCCCCGACCCCCAGGGTGACAGATGTGCTTTCACCTAACACACTTCCCTCCTTCCTCTCCCAGCAGCATCTGCCTCTCCTGGCCTCCAGGGGACTCCTGAGGAGGCCCCACGTGGCTGCCCAGCGCCATGCATACAGCACCACGGAAGACAGCTCTGTCAGACCTATTGGGCGATACCCGGTGCCAAATAAGAAGGACATGCCATATGATATCGTGGAGCTCATGGAGGAAGTGGAAGTGAAGGTAAAAAGCTCTCATGCGAAATTGTGTCAGTGGCAAACATCCATTGACATACGTTGTCGGAGACCAATGCTGGGCCGCTTACATGCTGTGTCTTAGCTTTGTTGCAGCTGCAGCAATCTTTGCATGTGAGCAAAAGTCAAATGCAGTGTAGTGAGGAAGGGTCAGCACAGACTTCGGATTCAGTGAAGGTTCAGAACAGAGCTGTGGATAGGAGCAAATCAGCACAGAAGATTTGGGATTCCAAACAGTGCTGCCAAGAGATTCCTAGACAAACCATTCAGCCATGGATTTAAGGGAAGGAGCCTCCTCATAGTTAATTAATAATTAGCACAGGTGTGAGACAGGAGGAATGCACTGGCACCTGTTTGTGAGAGGAGGCTGCTGGAGGAGCCTGTTTCACTTGAGCTAGGCTGTCTTTTCAGAACACCTTCCAAACAGCAGCCCGTAGGCTGGCAGGGCCTGCAGACAAATGGAGTAATCACAACAAAAGTGGAATTTGCAGAATTGCAGTGGAATCTCACAGTGCCTGGCAATCAGGCACTGAGGGGTGACTGAAATCCTGTATTGAGTGCAACAGCACTGTGCCAGCATACACCTTCAGGGTGTGCTTGTACCTCAGACAATGTGCTCTTTGTCTTGGGTTGACTGTCTCACATCCCACAAACATGAAAGGAGGAGGAGAGCTCTGGGAACTTTCTGTTGGTCAAAGGGTTGTAGCAGCTGTTGTGCAGAGTTGGAGCAAATGACAACGGTTCTCTTTGGAAGGAATTTTGTCATGATGCCTGAGGGCAGTATGACTGTGGTCATTGCTGGCATGGCTGAAGTGATCATGGCTGCAAGAAACTGCAGCAGTGCTTAATTAAGGACAATATCATTGCATGATTTTTAGTCATATGTACAAATAGGCTCAAAGCCCAAGGAGACTGGGTCTGTGGAGATTCCCTAGGGCTGCTGTGCAAACTACTTGTTCTCTAAGCCTAATGTGTGAATGTGGCCTGCTGTGCTCCGCGTTAAGAGCGTTGCAGCTCTTGACTGGTTTCTCCTTTTCCTTGAACAGACTGGATTTCTGCCCAACGTGTTCAAAGCCATGTCTCACCGACCTGCTGAATTCAGAGCATTTTTTGCTTATTACAATGTGATCATGAACAAAGAGACAGGTAAACCATACACAATCACCCCAAAATTGCCCTTTCCTCTACAGATGTATAAAATGCTAGGACCAACTTCTCTGACATCCTCAGGTTTATTTCCTCACCATCCCTTACCCAGCTCACAGCTCATGGTTAAGAAGCAGCCCATGAGAATAGCTGAGCTACCTCATTACACTGTGCTCTGTGTCACAACAAAGGAAGGACAGGCTGCTTCCTGAGGGAAAGTGGGTCAGGAGCTGAGGGCAGGCACAGGCATCAGAAATATTGCTGCGGTTTCACACTGCTTGAGCAAAGTGAGCAAAGTAGGTCTGCCTGTGCTGAGCGTGGTCTGCCAACAGTCCAGATTTCCTAGGCAAGGCCACAGTGTCTGGTCCAAGTTCCACATCAGCATGGTTACACAGCCAGGCACTGCAGCCATGCAGCTTGGGCTAAGGCTCTAACACAGAGACAGCTCCCGAGGGAGGGAGATGTTCCAAAGCTATTGCTCAGGCTTCCTCCAGCTCTTTCTTCATGATAAACCTTACCTGTGAGCTTGCCACGACCCAGATGCAAAAGTCGTTAGAAGGTATGCTTGCTGGGTCCTGATAGGCTCTGCTGTGGGTATGATTCCAAATGCAGGTAGTCCTCCGTATCCTGCAGACACAGAAAGAAGACTGTACTGCTTCCATATACATGGGCATCTATACATCACGTCTTTAGAAACTGAAGGAACTGGGGATGTTCAGTCTGGGGAAGAGGAGGCTGAGAGGAGACCTTATTGCTCTCTCCCTGAATATCTGAAAGGTGCTTACAGTAGAGCAGGGCTGGTCTCTTCTCACTGGTAACAGGTGGCAGGACGAGGGGAAATGACCTCAAGTTGTGCCAGGGTAAGTTTAGATTGGGTATCAGGAGACACTTCTTTGCAGAAAGGGTTGTTAAGCACTGCCATGCCCTGCCCATGGAGATGGTTGAGTCACCATTCCTGGATGTGTTTAAAATCCATCTGGATGTGGTGCTCAGGGATATGACTTAGCGGATTTTGTTGTAGTATGGCTAGGTTATGGTTGGACTTGATCTTGAAGGTCTTTTCCAACCTGAGTGATTGTATGATTCGGGTGGCCTCCAGGCATCCCTTGAGTGCGGAAGTGAGATGGGTTGCAGCAGTGCATCTGGGGAAAGCTTCATTCAGGGAATGTTGCAGTGTTCAAGCCTTTGAGAAAACAGTTGAAGACTGCTTGTTCCTCCCTCCTGCTTCCTGTGCTGTGGGGCACTGAGCAGCTGGTTCTCATTGCTTTTGTTGTAAGGGTCTTACATCAGTAAGATCTGGGTTTTGTAAAACAAGCTGCTGAGCAGACTGCTCCTTAGCCTTAAAGTAGATGAGAGCTTGCAGGGAGAGTCCTTGTGGGCAGCAAAGTGCAACTTTATGTTTCTCTCACTGTGATACACACAGTCTGTGCATGAAGGTTTCTGCTCTGCTTGCACTGCTGGAGTGAAGCCCTAGCTATACTTTTTTCTGCTCTCATTCCTGTGCTGCTTTTTTGATTGACTCTGGACAGTCACTTGTAACTCCCTGGCATCACACCCTTTTCAGCACTTATCCTGAAGCATCACGGAGTTGCCACTTTCTATAACTGAACTGCCTCAGAGCAAGAAGTTCTCTTCCCCTAAAAGGTTTTAGTAGTATTTTTCATGTCCTAGAAGATGCTTGTCCTGTGCAAATATTTGCCCTTCAGTGTGAACTGTGGTTTCTAAAAATACTGTTTCTAATGATCTGATAAAAAGGCAGAGTATAAGAGCTGACATCTAGATAAAGTAAGTTCCTCAGGTGCTATGGACAGTCTTGTTGTGAAGCTATTTGTGAAAATGATTAGTACTGATTCCAAGTATAACAAAGCACAGCCATGTTCTCCAGAGATTCTTTGGAGAATCACTGAAAAAGTTGTGATTCATCTGTGTGTGGTCACTAGAAGTTCTCAGAGGCACGGTCCTAGGGTACCTCATTGCTCCTGTATGCTTCCTCCTCTCTGCCTTCAAAAGCTGCAGTGTTTTCTTGCTTGGAACATGATTTTAGAACATTGCAGTCTTCTGTAATGGCAGATGAACAGACTGCTTGCCACCAGCCACATGTACATGAGGCATGTATAGGGAGTTACAGAGCTTCAGCCTGACGAGCAAGTAATTCTGCTCCTCTGAGTTCTCATGTTGCGTAGAGTCATTATGACCCTAATGTGTCCCTTATCCTAGCGAGGTGCCTCCCAGACAGCGATCCAAGTTAACTGATTGTCTAGATGTCCACGAGGATCTGTGGTTGCAGTTTCCTTGCGTGCTTTAAGGAACTCTGGCCGTAGTGCCTGCTGCCTGTCCCCCGAGACCTGTATTCTGTGTTGCTCCAGCAGTACTTACTGTTTTTGCTAACAGCGTGTGCTAAATCCTTTTCTGTCCCTGTAGGGAGACTCAGCAAAGCGGACAAGGAGCTCATCATTGTGGCCACGAGTGCTGTGAACAGATGTCCCTACTGTGTGGTCGCACACGGGGCGCTTCATCGGATATATTCCAAGCAGCCAACGCTGGCTGACCAGGTCAGTGGAGCACGGTCCTTCTGGGGAGTAGGGGTGATGTTCTCAAACGTATCTGTCTCCTCACTTCAAGCTGTGACCATTAAGTCTGCGTGGTGAGAGCAGAGAGAATCACAGAGTTATTAGGGTCGGAAAAGGCCACTGAGATCACGGAGTCCAGCTGCCAGCCCATCCCCACCATCCCTCAGTGCCACAGTTCCTGAGCACCTCTCAGGGGGATGACGCTGACTCCAGCACGTCCTAGGGCTCCTTCGGAGAAGAAATTCTCCCTGATGCCCACAGAGGGACCGATGCTGGCCGTGCTCTCCCATTTCACTGCGCTCTCTGCCTCTTCTCAGGTCGTCGTCAATTGGAAGCTGGCGGACCTGAGCAACCGGGACCTGGCGATGTTGGAGTTCGCTCTTGCAGTGTGTCGTGCAGATAACATCACGGAGGAACACTTCCAGAAGCTGGAAGCGCACGGATTTGACCGCGAAGACGCGTGGGACATCGCCACCATCACCGCCTTTTTTGCCATGTCCAATCGCATCGCCCATTTTGTCGATTTGCGTCCCAACAAGGAGTTCTACAACATGGGCAGGACGCCTCGCGAGGCGGGCAGGGACGGCGCCTGATGTCTGTGTTGCGGCAGAAGTTCTCGCGCGTTGTTTTGAACGTATAAAAACGATGAATCCCGACGCCGGCCGCGAGCCTCGCTTTCTCTTCAGCGTCGGAGCGCGGGGCGGGCTTCAGCCCGCTCCGGGTGACCCACGTGCGGCGCGCGTTGCGGCCGGAAGGGGGCGCCGCAGCCCGGAAGGGGGCGCCGCAGCCCGGAAGTGGGCGCCGCAGCCCGGAAGGGGGCGCCGCAACCCGGAAGGGGGCGTCGGCGCAGGCGCGGAGGGAGGAGGGCGGAGGGAGGCGGGAGGCGCGGCCCGGCGATGCCCGGCCCGGGCGCGAGATGAGCGCGGAGGCGGCCCAGGCGGGGTCCCGCGCCGGCAAGGCGGCCCCGGGACCCGGCCCGCCGCCACCGCCCGGCATGCGGCCGCCCGCCGCCCCTCCTCGGACGGCGCCGGATGGCGGCGGCCTGTTCGGCTGGCTGCGCGGGCGCTGTCTGGGCCGCAGCGCCGCCGTGGACCCGGCGCGGGACAGCTTCCGCGCCATGACCGGGCTGTACGGCTCCATCCAGCCCGCCGACTCCGTGTACCTCAGCACCCGCACGCACGGCGCCGTCTTCAACCTCGAGTACTCTCCGGACGGGTACGGGCCGCGCTCCGCTCCACGATCGCCGCCCGGGCCCGGCGTTCCGCTACCCGCCTTGCGGCGCGGCCTTTGGCTGGGGCTCCTCCTCGGCCGGCCCTCAGGGCGGCTCTGGAGCGGAGCTGTCCTGCTCGAGGGTTCAGGGAGCTGCAGCACCTCCCCTGGGAGGACAAGCTGAGGGAGCTGGGCTTGTTCAGCCTGGACAAGAGAAAGCTGCGGGGTGACCTCACTGCAGCCTTTAGTACCTAAAGGGAGCCTACAGACAGGAGGGGAATCAACTTTTTATGAGGGTAGATAACAGCAGGACAAGGCGAAATGGTCTGAAGTTGAAGGAGGGAACATTTCACAAGGAGGTGTTCTTTACTATGAGGTGCTGGAACAGCTGCCCAGGGAGGCTGTGGATGCCCTGTCCATCCCCGCAGGTGTTCAAGGTCCATCAGGTTGGATGGGGTCCTGGGCAGCCTGGGTTGGTATGAAATGTGGAGGTTGGTGGCCCTGCATGTGGCAGCTTTGTGATCCTTGAGGTCCCTTCCAACCCTGGCCGTTCTGTCGTTCTGTGAGGTTTCTCTGGAGCTGCGGGGGATGGGAGAGGCGCGGCAGCCTGAAATGGAGCAAGCTCGGTTCAGGAAAGTCTGCATAACTGCAGCCTGCGGTGCGGTTTCACAGCAGGCTTCCTTGTCAGAAAGGCTTTCCATCTCAGATTGAGCTCGGCAGTGTCCTCGGTCTCACCTGAAATCTGTTACCTGTGCTGTAGCTTAACACTACTTTTGCAAGTTTCTGGCGTGAGAAGAAGTTCTGCCTTCTTGCTGTCCCTGTGCGCCTGCTGTTTGTGAGGCTGCGCTGTGGACTAAGCCACAGATCTTGTCTGAAGATAAACCCAGCAGTGGCATGGGGATGTCTTCTCTGACTTGGCCTTTTGTGTGGCTGGCTGGCACATTGTCAGCAGGCCACAGGCGGTGTTAGGCACAAGATAGCAGCCTGGCGCTGGACCTCGTTTGCCTTAAGGTCAGGTGGAACAGCCCAGACCTTGTTTGCTTTTGTGGTGGTTCGATTCAATTCAGCAGTTGCAGAGCAGTCGCAGACCTTTTCTGACCTTTGGTGACTTGGAATTTCTTTGTAGCCTTCCTCAGCAGAGCTGGCTGTGGTGAGCAAAGCTGCCTTCCTGTTCCCTGCCTGTGCTCTTGCTGACACTACAAAGCAGTGCTCTGAGCTGAGAACCAGGATTGTACCTGTCAGCTGTTTGTGTGGCACCAGTGAGATCTGCCCCATGACTCATAACAGTTTGAGTTGTTGCACTGCTAGGGGAGCATCCTAGCTTTCCTGGAGGTTGCCTTCACTAATTTAGCAGGGTAGGCTTAGCCATCACTGTAGTGGCAGTGTATCAGACTTTTTCAGCATGCATAGAGCAAATAAATATTGGTGCTTTAGGACAGGCTAGACAGCCTGCCCAAACTGTGAATGGCTGATGTTTCTGGTACCTGTTTGGGACCTCAGAACTCACTGCAAAGTTCTCGATGATCTGAATGCTTAATCTAGACTGGTGCCAGTGTCTTCCTCTTGTCTTTGACCAGTCACAACACTACTGTATTTAGAAAACACCTTTTGTCAGAGAGCTCCTTTTTTTCTTTGTGCATTAGCATTGTGTCTGATTGTGATCCCTTACAATACTGCTGTGATGTGAAAAGAAGCCAAGCTAAGTAATGTTGAAGTTGTGTTTCCATGAATCCAGAACCTGGAAGTTTGCTGAGCATGTGCGGACGTTGTATTCATTCATCAGATGCAAGTGTTAATGTTTTGTTCTTCCCTGCAGGTCTGTGCTGACAGTTGCTTGTGAACAGACTGAAGTGCTGCTTTTTGACCCAATATCTTCAAAGCACATCAAAACTCTCTCTGAAGCTCATGAAGATTGTGTAAATAATATCAGGTTGGTGAAAAGGAGGAAAAGATATCATTTTTCTCTTACTGTAGATGCTTTTCTAATAGAATCACAGAAACTTCTGTATCTTACAGAATAAATAATAATAATAATAAATAATAATAAGAATGTAGTAAGTTTGCACTGCTTTGGATAGAGTGGTTTTTTGTAGCTGTTAGGCTGCAATTTTGTGTCGTTTTCCTTCTGCATTGGAGGCTGCATAAGGCTGGGAAGGGGAAGAGGAGAAATCTGAAAGCAGTGATGGCGGTATGTAATGCTGCCAGGTGTTCTTACTGGTGGAAAAGCTGCAGTTCGTGGTGGGAGAAGGGTGTTACAGTATTGCTGTCTGATTTAATTGGCCTATGGAGTGAATGAACACTAAACACTGAAAACATAGCAAGTAGTGTATGACTTCTGTTTGGAGTGCAGGTTCAAAGCTGTAGTGAGGGAAGGTGCTTGTATGAATATGGTCGGTATTTTGAACTGTAAGAGTAATTGCCTTAGTTGTGTGGAAATTTCCAAAGTTGGGATGCTTTCAGTACAGTTACAACATAAAAGAGCCAGAAAAGTGAAATGGCTTCTGCAATCTGAGTGAATCTCAGCATTTACCTCATAAATGATGTGGATGTTTCTCGGGATGAAGTAGGAAGCAGCAAACACAGGAATCTGAATTATCTGTGTGTTTGTCATGTGATGTTTTTCCTTTTTAATTGTTATTTTGTGTCCTCTTTACCTGAGGATAGACTTTCACACATGAATTTGTTCTCAAGATGGTTTTTTAACCTCATTGCTGCCTCTTTCACTCTACTTCTCAAAGTCAACAAAAAGCATTCTGAGCATTTCCCTCCTGCAAAGAGCCAAATGAAATCTGAGATATTAATGCCTTTGCGTGTTCTTTAGGCACATAGATGTTTTTCACAAAGCACCTATCTTTTTTAATAGAGACTGAAATTTTACATCAGTTGCATGTCTGTCAGAAAAGCCGAAGTGAGAGCTACCTGGCACAAACAAAAGAGATGGTGAGAACGTGCTTTTCTGTTACGAAAATGCAGCTTTTTCTTCTGCCTTTGTAGGATATTGGCATCCTGCGTTTTCCTGGATGTCTGCATTTGTTGTCATAAACTTAGCTACAAGGAAGCTCACTTTGTTCTGTAAAACTTGGTTAGTGCAGCACTACATATGTTCATTTTAACTTTCCTTATAATTGTTGAATTGTCCAGGCTGGAAGAAAACCTTCATGATCATCAAATCCAGCTGTCAGCCTGACTGCTGAGCCCCTTCACTAACCTGTCTCTTAGTGCCAGGTCCGTGAAACGCCTCCAGGGTTAGGGTCTCCACCACTTTCTGGACAGCCCATTCCAACCCTATAAATGATATTAAGAGGCATCCTGTGCCAGATGCCTTCATACATATTTCAGAACAGGGAAGTATGTACTGATGCTCTTCCATCATCCTTCCATGTGCTGAGGATGTGCGTATAATCACATGAAGTAGATATGTTTTGCATGTGGATTTGGTGAATTTTTGAGCTGATTTAAATTTAGTTGTTGCCCTTTTCGTGTCAGAATTCCAGAAGTGTTCTTCTGGTTATCTTTAAGAAGGTTTTGAAGACTTGATAGATTGAGGCCCTCTGTTTTCTGCTTGTTTTTGTTCTTTAAACACCAGAGACAGTGAACCATATACTTTCTCTCTGGCAGTTGGTTTTATATGCCTGAATCATATGCACCTTCTCTTAAGACTTCATGAATTGAAGCAATCTGTCTACTTTTTCATTCCAAACTATTTGTAACTCCCCATGTCTTTTCCATTTCTTCTGAAACCTATTTGTGGTGTATGAAACAAGGCTGCATGCAGCATTCAAGACCAAAGGAAACGGTAGATTTGTACGGTGAAGAGATGTAGTTTGTTTCACTCTCTTCTTAAAAACTGCTGGGTTTTTTTTGTTTGTTTGTTTTTGTTTTTTTCCTTGTAGTTACTTGGCATTGGACAGGCATGCTGCTGTTGTGATTTAACACTGGTAGGTAGCCACAGGTGCTCTCACTCCACCTCAACAGTAGCACAAGGGGAGAAGTAAGATGAAGAGTTTGTGGGCTGAGATAAGGAAGGGGAGATTGCTGACCAATTACTGTTATGGACAAAACAGGTTCAGCACAGAGAAGATAGATTTATTACCAATTAATAGCAAACTAGAGCAATGAGAACTAAAGGCAAACTAAAACCACCTTCCCCCTGTGCCCCTTGTCTTCTGTCTGCTCCTCAAACAGGGCAAGAGAATGAGGAATGTGGCTGTGGTCAGCTTCATCCGCGCTGCTTCTCTGTGGTCACTCTGCCCCTAGTCCCTTGCTGTCCTTCCCAAACCAATCCTGCAGGGGCCTCCCAGGAGCTACAGCTCTCCAAATGCTTCTCCAGTACAGACTGATACCATAGCTCCATCTCTCAGAGGTGGATTGCTCTGGCACAGTTCTGCTGCAGGCAGCAGCTCCCCCAGATCTCTGCTGGACCACAGGCTCTGCTTTGTGTTCTGCAGCTCCAGCTCAGGATCTGATCCTGTGCAAACCTCTGTGGGCTGCAGGGAACTTCTGGAACACATCCTGCCATTCTGCACTCACCTTGGTGGCTGCAGGGCTGCTTCTCTAATAAACATTGATATCTGTAATGCGAGCCAAATGATTTTACCTCCTGATTTTCTCAGCCAAGTAACTTCTGTCTAAATACTCTTTCAAAATGAAGCATTTTCTTCACTTGGTGTTTTTGAATATAGACTTGCTTTACCTTCAGTAAGCTTGTGACTCAATTTGTTTCCTATAATGATTAGTGCTGATTCTTGTTCTTCTATCCTTTTGTGTGATAGTTTTTATGGCAGGTATTAAGGCAGCCTTATATACTATTTCAGTTTGGAGTGATAGCGTACATTCAACTTTATCTGGAGTCAGGATGGTCAGGATAAAGAAATACCACCTGATCATATTAAGACCTTAATCTGGTAAATGCATTAATCCTGCTAGTATGACCCAAGTTCATTTCCACTTTCTCATCTTCTTACATGGCACTGTGACGAGCCTGTTATCTTTTAGGTGAGCAAGATCTCCAGACCCATGAAAAGCAGAAAGCTTGGAGCATTGTACGTGGGATACACATTCATTCCTGCATCAGAGAGTAGAGCAGAATTACTCTTTGATGCATCAGTACTTTTCAAATATCTTGTGAAATACTGAGCACTGCACCTTCTTGCAGCATCTTAACAGAATGTTACATTTGTTTTGCAATTCAGAATTTATTCTTTAAGGTACATTTGCAGTGAAGGAGTCAGTAAATTTGGGTAGCCCTTGTCATGTCTGCAGTTATTTCCAAAGGAAGTTCTCATTCTAAAGAGTATTTTTGATATATATACCTATTTTTTTTTTTAATTTGAAAAACACAATTTCGTATCTTTAGATTCAAATACACAAGCTGTACTGTGGGCAAGGGAAAATAGGAGCGAAAGCTGCCTCTTTGTTTATGGAGACTGTTGAGACTGTTGCAGGTGGTAAAATTATGGGATGCAGGCGGTTTACGTGGCTCATTCCCTAGGCACTGCAGTTGGCAGTGGGCAGTGTCCTAAGGTTTTGTGAAGCCATATGAGCTCTAAAGCAAAAGATGTACAAAGAAGGACTGATATTTAGTTAAGGTTCTTGGGAAATAAGCAAGTAATGGCTGTGTTTAGATTTCAGTCTCATAATATCCTACACAGCAGTACTGTATGTAGTATATACCACATGATTAGGAAAAGAAGCCAAATGTAGGACAGTTAATCAACTCAATTGCTTCTCTCAGAAAAGAACTGTTAAACACCCCATATAAAACATTAGGGCCAATTTTCCAGCATGTTCGATTCATTCACCAGCACGCTGGGATGATGACCCCAGTTCTCTGTGCAGCTTAGAGAGGCCACTTTTGAAAATGGGTTCCTGATAACCAGCTTCTGTCACAAGCCTTGTGATGAGTGCTGTGTTCTGCCTACTGTTGTGAAGTCAGGATCTTATGAGACAGTTCAGTCGTGACTGGCTCAGTCAGATGCCAAGTACTATGTAAAGTGAAGACAAGCCTTCCAAAGTGAGGAGGAGTTTGGAGGTTTGACTAAAGTTGATGGGCACAAACTGTTTCAGCAAAACCAGTGGGCCGGTAAGAGATTTCCAGTAGGAATAACAAAAAGTGACATTTGTTTTAAAAACGTGGTCTCACCAGAAGAGACTGAAGTTTGTGGTGGGGAAAAGGAAGAAGTTGTAAGGAGCTTTAGGGGAAGAGTGAGGATAGGTGTGTGGATGGAAATGAAGAGAGTCGAGAACATGGTTTTATTTCTTACAAACTGATAGGATTTTGTGTGGTCTGAAATGCACCTGTAATCTGTGTGTTTTCTGGTGTTGCTCCTTCTTAATAGCAAGGGGATCTGGTAAATAGTGGGGGAGGTGAAAGGCATAAAGGGACCGCCAAAACAGTCACTTTGAACATCTTCCCAGGGACCTCAGAGCTGGCTGCTCTTAGGACATTTGTGCTTTATAAAGACTCTCTGAGTTCCAATACAGGTGAGTACTGTCCAGATGGGTAAGTGCTCTAGTTGCCACAGGGTTTCTTTGTGTGCCTTTGTCCTATTGATGGTTGTGCAATCTTTAAATGATCTGTAATAAGTGGGGGGAGGGAAGGGAAGAAAAGAGGCTGCTGCTGTACTGCAGGTTTACTGGCTTGTTTCTGGAGATGTCTGGATATGTAGTAGCACACTACTGTTTTTTAACTTTTTTTTTTTTTTTTTTGGCAAGTATGCTGCTGCTACGTGTTAATTCTTTTCTGCAGCCTCTATTGTTTTTCCTATGTTAGCTTAAGTCCTAGATGACTCATACTGAAATTAGCCACAGTATTTCTCTCCCATTTTCAGGTTTCTAGATAATCGACTTTTTGCAACTTGTTCTGATGACACTACAATAGCACTTTGGGATCTGAGAAAGCTGAACACAAAAGTGTGCACTTTACATGGTCACACCAGCTGGGTTAAGAACATTGAGTATGACACCAATACAAGACTGCTGGTGACATCAGGATTTGATGGAAATGTGATCATCTGGGACACAAACAGGTGTGTAGGCGTACTTGTGCTGTAACATTTCTAACCCTTGCCAAAGCTTTGCACTGCCTTGATATATAGTCCAGAAAATAAAAAAAGGTAAGAGAGTTTTCTCACACTCCAGAATGTAGTTTTTCCTTTCTGGAAAGGATTTCCTCACCATTGAGATAAGTCTGCTCTAAGTAGGGTAAAGACAACATACAAGAAGAATTTCAGGATTGACCAAGGTGCTTAGCATATCCTGGGCTCCTGCTTGAGTCACAGTCCGACTGTTTCTTGGTTGTATTTTCTTTTCCCTCCTCTGTGCAGGTGCACTGAAGATGGGTGTCCCCACAAGAAGTTTTTTCACACCCGTTTTCTTATGCGAATGAGGTTGACACCAGACTGTTCCAAAATGCTGATCTCTACATCCTCTGGATATCTTCTGATTTTGCATGACCTTGATCTAAACAAAACTCTAGAGGTTGGCAGCTACCCCATTTTAAGAGCTAGGAGGACTGCATCAAGTTCAGGTGAATACTTGTTAAAATGTCAGTAGCAGCTTCTGTGATAGAATTCTTGTGGTTTCACCTGGCAGGCAGCTAAATACTGCACAGTTGTTTGCTCACCTCCTCACCCCTCCTTCCCAGTGCTTTGGGGTAGAGAATAATAAAAAAAGAGTTAGTACTTGTGAATTGAGATAAAGACAATGTACTAAGACAGAAAAGGAATATAATAGTAACGGTATTCCTGTGTGTGTATTTACAAAACAAGTGATGCTCAAGGCAAGGCAAATTTTGGTATCGATACTTTAGCACTACAGGACATAGTCTGGAATTCTGTCGCCTCAGGTGCACTTGTTGTCAATCAGCAGACCTGATAGAGTCCTGTGCTCTAAAATTTCACTGCTTCCTGCTGTTGTGTGACAGTAACAGCAAAATAGTCACTAACTACACTGTGTGGGGTGTCTGTGAAGAGCTGGGAAAAAAGTTCGTACCCCATCTCCTAATAGTAAGTGTGTATCAGAAGCAAGAGTGCAGCTTTCAGCTTCCTCCTTGTTCCCCTTAGTATGATATGCTGACATTTAATTTGTGTAAAGCACAACAAAATGGTGCTTTGTGACTGTAAGCGGAGCTTTGAAAAGTGTTCTGTTAACAAGATGCCTTTACTTAGCATGGCAAGGGAGAGTTAAGTGAAGGACATGTATAGTACACAGGCTGTTCTTAGCTTTTGTGTTCACATGGTTGATGCTGTATGCAGATATAACATCCTCGAGTCTGTCCAGTCCTCGAGCTGTTGGTTCCCCATGTCACCAGAGTGATTCGAGTCCACAGTCTGAGAAACAGATGTCACGGTCCTCACAGCGAGAAGGTAAGAAAAACATAAAAATAAAACCAGGAATTGCAGACTTTAGTTCATTGTGGCTGAAAAAGTACAGTAGGAAAACACTGTTTTTTCTTTGTAGCCCTTAAAGGTGTTACTATGAGCTCTGTTAAACCAGTGAAGTATCACTGCATGCCAAAATCTAGAGATGTAATCGTTTTTTATGCAAGAAAACTGACTGAAAGCAGCAGTGAGATTTTTATTATGCATTAGTACATTATTTTTGTTATGCGAGTGTGCTGCCATTTCCTTGGGTTGTTTTTTTGTTTGTTTTGTTGTTGTTGTTTTTCCTTTTTTTTTCCTAGCACCCCTCATGTGAGTGACCTTCTGGGGGGAAAAAGCCAACAGAGTAGAACATAGTTGTTTTTTGCTTTTTGTTTCCCTTAGTGATGGCAATATGCATGTGCTGTTTCTCCATGAGAAGTCAATAGCATAGGAAGAGAACAGGCACATTAATCCTAAACGTTGACAGAATGGTTTTAGAAGTTTTGTTACCTAAATTCAGAACTATGAACAAAGCTCAGCACCAACTTGGCAAATTCACAAGTGTTGAGAAATCTTTAGTGAATTGCTTGCTAATGTAAAATACCAGTAATGTTAAGCTTTAGTTACTTAGGGTTGTGAGTTGTTCAAACAGATATGAAAGAAGGAAGCTTATCTGGACCCCAGGGCAGGAGTTACCTGTGAAAATCTCTTTTAAGGCAGGCAGGGGGAAAGGAGGCAAGATACGCACAGCTGAGCAGACTTAGCAGAATTTGAAGAGGCCATTGTACAAGTTTGAGAACTGGTAGCTCTTAGAAAAGAGGGCATTCAGGATTTTCTTTAAATAATGTATTTGTGTGGAAATTAGCCCTAACTTCAGTTCACAGCATGGGATGATTTAACACAGATCCTGGAAGGTAAATTTTAAAAAAGGAGCTAGTAGGAATCAGAGCTGAGCACGTTGGTGTTAACTTCAGTTGTTAGTGTAATCTCTCCTTCATCTGCATTTCATAAAGCTGCAGTCTTTTCTAGCAGTCAGACAAGGCTGATGTGCCCTTCACCTCATTTCAACAATAGACTGAAGTGAGAGGTGAAACTTAATGTCTAGGCAGTGGAATGGGCTGCCCAGGGAGGTGGTGGAGTCACAGACCCTGGAGGTGTTCAAGGAACGTTTGGATGTTGTGTTGAGGGACATGGTTTAGTAGAAAATGTTTGTTGATGGGTGGATGGTTGGACTGGGTGATCTTGTGGGTCTTTACCAACCTTGGTGATTCTATGATTCTATGAACGTACAGAGTTCCTTTAGACTCACAGTTGACTTCCCTTCCTAGGTGGATCACCTAGAAATAGTTTGGAGGTCTTAACACCAGAAGTTCCTGGTGAGAGAGACCGAGGCAACTGCATTACATCCCTACAGCTACATCCGAAAGGGTGGGCTACCCTTCTTCGGTGCTCAAGTAATACAGATGACCAGGAGGTAAAACAAAAGGTTTTGAGCAGATACTTGTGAGTAAGCTGTATCAGCTGTACAACTGTATGGAAAAACCTGACTTTGGCATAAATTTGCGTTTGAATAAAGAAGTTCAATTGTAGGCAGAGATTAATAGTTTTTAAACCAGGATTATGAAATATTTTTCTGCTTGGAAGAGTTCTTGTACAAGAGTCTGTGTCCTTTATTCAGCATGCCTTTTGCCAAGCTTTAATGAAATAGTTTTTATAGTGTAAAGCTTGGTTAAATGTTTTTGAACAATTCTTGGCCTCTCAAGTATATGACTTAAAAATATGTACCTGCCCAAATATAGGAGAAAAGAACTTGGAAAAAACAGAAGATTACACAGTTGTACAGTGGTGGGCATGGTTTAAGTAGAGCAGAGAAGCTGCTTTGAATTATTTAAATCCCTCTGGATGTATTGCATATCCATCAATGTCACCAGGTTAAAGATCTGCTGTGCTGACAAATGCTTTTTACTGGCTATGAAAAACTTTCAGAGTATATTTCTGCATTTGCTTAAAACTCCCACACTGTAGGTTTGAACGTTATTAACAATGATGATAATTAATGTAATTTTTTAAAAAAGTGATCTCAGCTTTCCTCTTAAAAACTGTGGTGTGGGCATATTGTGCAGCAGAGCAGGTGATCCACCAAAATAGTGCAAATGGTGCCAGTTACAGGTGACTGCATGCTCAGAGGAGGCACTGAGGGACCATTTGCCTCCTGGACAGTCCAAGAAGTTTCTTGTCTACCAAGTGCCTGCATTTGAGATAAGAAGAGGCATGGATAAGCTGGAGGACTGCTACCTGTCTTTGCTTTTTCAAGTAGAGTCACATGAGGCTGCATCATGGAGACTGCAAAATGTTTTTAACATTAATGAGAGACCTTATGTCCCTGAAGTAGCTGGCTGATGAACATTGGGTGCTCCAAAAGTAATGCCCCCCATTAACTTTCATGGAAACCACTGCAGCTACTAAAAGCACAATTTCATAGAGCAAATTCTCAGCTGCAAAACACTATTTTTCATCAGAGTCACCATGATTAGCTATGTGTTTTTGCCAGCAGTGAGCAAGAGCCTGCATGCCTCAGTTGTACACATCTGCATGGGCAGAGATGACCCACTGCTGCTGAAACGCACACTCAATGCCTCACCATGCTCACATCCACTTTCTGCTCTCCATAAACCTTCAGCAAGCATTGATGAATGCCACTGGGTGCCATTTTTTGTCTGCATGGAGGGATTAAATTGCACACCTCATTGTGGCCTGCCAGTACGTGAGATTCCACTGGACAGTCATCTCGTAATCATCTGTTTCTCTGAAGTTTATTTCAGTGTTGTTATTCTGACAGGCTCAACAGCAGATCTCCTGTTTAGCCTGCCAAGATGCAGATTTTATATATATACTTTTTCAAAATTATAAATAATTCTTTAAATGCCTATTAAACACGTGCTTAAAAAGTTTTTAGTCAACCTGATAGATGACTTGAATTATTTATTTTATTTTTTTTAATTTTGGAAAGAAGCCTCACTTTGTACTGGCAGCCTACAGATGTGTAGAGGACTGAGGGGAAGCACAGGAGACTTGTTTGAAATTTCACTACTGGTTTTGTAAACTCACCATCAAACCACTGTGCAGTGTAGAATTTTCTGAAAATGCAATTGACTGACCCAGTTAAAACATGCTGGAGTCCTAGTGTCTGCCTTACTCTTTTCTGTTAATATTAATTTGCATTTGTTCCCTTTGTCTTTACTTCAAGAGAGGACAGTGAACAAAAGAAAGAATGTATCTTCTGTCTTGCTGGAGAATGGAGATTCAGACATGGTGTGAATTTAGTTGGTAAATGGAGTGGATTTTGCATTTGATTTGAATTAAATAATTAGATCAAGCATTAAAATCCCCGATTGCCTCACAGGTAACAAGCTGGATATAGGTCTCATAATAGCGTTTCTTCTAATGCTATTTTTGTCTTCTTTCAAGACTTTCCTCCTTTTGAAGTCAGGGGCATAACATGTCAGAAGGCCATTCTAAATTGCACAAGGCTGAATTCTGCTTTTTTATAGATTTCATTTGAATGTTCTACTACATTAGAGCAAACTCTTGTCCGGAGGAGCAGGCTTTGTTCTTTCCAGGTGAAAAAGATTGTATTTAGACACTAAAACAGAAGAAGTTTTGATGCTGAACATCTGCTTTACATAAATTGTTCAAAGGGAAGAACTGGTGCAGGTTGCCCAGTGATGCTGTGGATGCCCCCTCCCTGGTGGCATTCAGAGCTGAGTTGGATGGGGCTGTGAGCAACTTGATCTAGAGGGAGGTGTCCCTGCCTGCAGCAGGGGGTTGGGTCTGGGTGGTCTTTAAGATCCTTTCCAACCCAAACCACTCTGTGATTCTCTGATAAGAAGATGCCAAACACCCTGCCGGTTCTCAGCGTCTCGTAGGAAGTGCTTGTGGAGGAGTAGATAAGCAAGAGTGTTGGTCACTGCTCTGTCAGATGCTTAACATGCAGCTGAGGTGAATGTGTGTTTGCAGTGCTTTACTGTCTTTCAGTGTTCCTTTCTTTCTTTCTCTCTCTCTCTCTCTCTCCCTTCAGTGGACTTGTGTCTATGAATTCCAGGAAGGTGCCCCCGTGCGCCCTGTCTCACCTCGCTGCTCCCTGCGATTGACTCACTGCATTGAAGAAGCCAACGTTGGCCGGGGTTACATCAAAGAGCTTTGCTTCAGTCCTGATGGCCGGATGATTTCATCCCCCCACGGCTTTGGGATCCGCTTGTTGGGGTTTGACGCACACTGCAGCGAACTTGTTGACTGCTTGCCCAAAGAAGCTGGTCCCTTGCAAGAAATCCGTTCCCTGTATTCTCACAATGATGTGGTACTGACAACAAAGTTTTCTCCAACCCACTGTCAGATTGCCTCGGGGTGCCTTAGCGGACGCGTTTCTTTGTATCAGCCAAAGTTCTAGGCGCATTGTACATCAGCAGGACTTTCAAATGTTTGTGTTCTAACTACTTCAGCTTAGTTGAAGTGTGTTCTTTTGGAAATCCTGTAAATCCAGATGAGATCATAGTTTATGTGGTCTCAGTACGTAATAATGATGTGAGTTCCTGGTGCAGCACTGTATGCATTTCATACCGCATCTGCAAGTCAGGCTCCATGCGTTGTGTTTTCAGCCTTATAGGCAGACCTCAGCTGCTTCTGACCTTGTGCCATCAAGTCATCGTTCTGTTTGGTTTTGTACTGTAGTACTTGCTGGTAATTTTCTTCAGCATGACTTGAAGGGGGCTGTCTGAAAGAAACATAGATGGGATGCAGGTAGGAGCTCAGCCACAAGTCACCCAAGCTTTCCTGGTGCAGCACCTCTCTGTTCCAGAGGACCTCTCCCTTGCTGAAGCTGCCATACAGTGATTGTTAGATATTGAGCAGGCTTTGTGTGTGCTAGATTAGTTGGCACAAAAACACAGAAAAAAATTGTTTTGCATTAATTTGTTCGGGTTTTTTTTGTGGTTGGCTAGAAAGTTAGTCAGCTTTCTGTAATGTTTTGCTGTACTAAAAAAATCTTTGTAGACTGTTTTTCCTTAATTATGTATCTTGATATTATTGGTAGAAGGAAGCGGCTCCCAGGTAACAGCAGTACAATTAGGTGACAGCCCCAAGATGCAACAGGGGAGGTTCAGGTTGGGTGTAAGGAATAACTTCTCCAGAAGAATGGCTGAATGTTGGAACGGGCAATGGCCCAGGGAGGTGTTGGGATCACCATCCCTGGGGGTGTGCAGGAGCTGTGGCACTAAGGAACACGGTCAGTTGGCATGGCGGGGGTGGGCTGGGCTTGGGCTTGGGATCTTAGTGGTCTTTTCCAAACATAAGGATTGTATGGTTCTATGGATTGAGACATAGCTGCATTTTTTTCCTCAGAATTGAATCAGAAATGCTTGAAGCAGAGTAGCAGGAGCTGAATAGGTAAACCTCTTCTGCTGCATCCACTGCACATGAACCTTAGGGAATGTTTCTTACAGTGTGTATGATTAGTCAGCAACTTTTAGTCCTCAGCCAGTAGGATTTCTTTTGTGGGAAGCTTTCCACATCAGTTACATAAACCTTCATCCTGTGTTGGAGAATGAGCAGTGCAGAATTTTTGCTTAAGGCCATTAGTCTTCTAACTGTTCTGCACCTCATGTTATAACAGGAGTTCATCTTGGGAGTGTCTGTAGCACAACTAGGTAAGTATTTCTTCACAAGTGTAGTCAGTTTGGGAGCGGATTAGAACCATTCCTGTCTAAAGTAAGATCTAAAGCGTGGATTTAACTGGGGTAATCATAAAATCTGAAATGTGATTTAAGGGTGAACGTTGGCATACTAAGTACGAATGCCAAGTTTTAACCCTTAGGTTCATCACAGGCTCCCAGACACACGAGGTGGGGGGGGGGATGTCCCCATAAGCTGGCACAGGCTGCTCAAACACATTCCAGAGGCTCCATCTCTGGAGGTCCTCAGGGCAGCCTGGTCCTGTGGGAAGCATCCCTGCCCATAGCATGGTGCTGGGGGCTGGGTGATCGTTAAGGATCTGTGCTACAATTTTAAATTTTCAGTGAATTTTTATTTAAAAAAAAAAAAACAAAAAAAAAAACAGAACAACCAACAGGAAAAAAAAGTCTTCAGTAATGGGTGTTTGGTAATCTGAGGACTGGTTAGTTACCTCCTGCGTTGGGTTTTCAGTACTTCTAGCGGCTGGCTGCTGAAGGACTGCCTTCAAGTAGCTTAATGTACAGAACTCCCATCAAATTATCATCTCAGCTGGAGGAGGAGAGTACCCTTAACTAATGTGCAGAGCCCGTGGTCTTCTCAGACAACAAAGCGTTAGAACATTTGCAGACCTTCTGGGCTGTTCTCTTGTTGCTGAGACTGCTGCCTTGAACTCAGAAGAGCATGGATGAAGTGACAGATGAGGGCATGCCTTATTTTCCAGAGCAGAGCACCAGTCTTGGTTTCGAACACTTGTCACTTTAGAATGCTTTTGGAGCTGTGTGTGAGGAGCACAGTTCTCCAGAAGGATGCTGTTTGTGTGCGTGCAGCTGAACTCTGACATAACTAACCTTTCCCATTTCTTTGTGGTAGGTTTTAGCTAGAACTGGAAGATTGCAGTTATTTGACTACTCTTTTTCAGCGGTACTCGGAAGTTTTCAGTCAAATCTAATATACTTCACCTGTGAGTTTCAGAAAGCACTTGTAGAAACACTATTAAATGATTTATGAATGGGATGCTGTGGTGTTTCAGCTTGGTGGAAGGAGTGGTATTCAGGTTTTGTCTTTCTGAATCATTACCTTGTGAAGAAATTTGTTGCTGAGCTTTGGATTCTCTCCAGTTAGCCAAAACAAGTTACCTTGTTGAAAAAGACAAATCCTTAACCTTGCACCCTTAGAATTCTGAAGGTCCCAGACCTGCCTGTCTCAAATATAGGAAATCGTTTTATATGATGTATTAAAGTCTGCACTAAGAACAAAGTACAGCAGTGGCTTCACATGTGTTTACTTCTGACCTCTCGAGCGTTATAGCGCTTGATAGATTTTGCAGTTTTTCTGATCAGGATGGAGCTCCTTGATTGTAAAGCATGCAGATACGTTTTTTTTAAATGCATGGTTTCATATTTATTGATTTCCACAGTGAAGCTTCACAGTACAGCTGGTCAGCAGAAGCAGAGAGGCTGCGTCACTGAGGTCTCTGCGTGGCACTGTCAGCTCACAGCGGTGTGTGTGGAACCAAACCAGTGTCTGAAGGTAGCTCTCCTTTTGTAATAGTCCAGTGACTGTCTGTTGTAGGAGTAAATGCATTTCCCACCTGCTCCATTGGAGGTTAGCCTTTGCATCGTTGTAGCTCTGTTATGAATTTGTAGGAAAAGAAAAAGAAACCTTTAAGGGGACTACGAACTGGCATCCATGTCTGTGTACTTTTCCTGTGTGTGTATTTCAGTATATCTGCATCTACTGGGCATCATCAGTCCAACAGGGGTAGTTCAGGGAAAAACGTAACCTCCATCAGAATTACTGGGGATAAAGCACAGTGATACTGACACACATCTGTTTGCACTCTTTGAGGCTTGGTAAGGACAATTTGCCTACCACCAGAATTGGAATGTAAACGTCAGGTTTTTCTGTGTTTTTTTTGTTGTTGTTGTTGTTGTTTATTTGGGCAACAGTGATGTGCAGTAGGTCCCAATACCACGAAACGTGGACCTGTTGCTCCATAACTTGCCCTCTTGAAAGCTTTTAAGAATTCTAGTTTACAAGATTCTAAGAAGTAGGAGTAAAAGAAGGTTGAGAACCCTAATATTTTTGTCCTGCAAGAGAAAGAAACTTCTAATTTCCTGATCTTGGTCAATGGTGCATTTTCTTATGCACTAGGTATCTTCATTTAAGTGTAAAGTTTTTAATACTAGAACAAATTGTGCATGTAAATATTTTGAAATACCTGAGATTTCGTAGTATGAAGTGTAGCCTTTTCATACAATATAAAAGTATCAGAACTGCTCTGAATATATTGTACTTACAGCCGTACAGTAACTTACTATTTGTGGAACGTTTTCCTTGCTTGCATAATAAATTAAACATTTAATAACTCAGTGAATTAAAATCTATTTTAATGTATTTGTCTTACACTGAGCTGTGTTCTGTAACACTCACTGCTTCTTGCCTATTCACTGGAACTGAGGGGGAAAGAGCCACACTTGGAGTGACATCTGCATCTGTGTGTTTCCCTCTGGTGTTGGTTTAGCTTGAGCACAGCTGTAGGATGGAACGTGTTCTTCCAAGAGCCTAGAAAGCCAGGCCTAGGTGCAGCTACAGTAATTACGGATGATAATTATACAGAAGGGCTTGGGTTGGATGGGACCTCGCAGCCTAAGCAGTTTCATAGATTCAGAGTAGTTTGGGTTGGAAAGGACCTTAAGAGATCATCTAGTTCCAGCCGCCCTAACCAACTGTACATGGAAGTGCTGACAGCTGGTGATGTTTGCAGATGAGCTCTCCTGGCCTCCAGACAACAGCCTTGAAGTCACATACCATTTCCACTCTTGAATGTCAGCATGGTGTGGTTGTAATCAGTTTGATAGTAATGGAAAACAGCCTTGAGCCCAGCTTGAAGTAGCTGAAGCAGCACAGCTGACTCTGTGCTGTCTGCCAGGATGGCAACACAGCATGCTCAGTGCACCATGTTTCCCACATCACTTTAATTTAAGGTGTGTAGCCTGACAAAGCTCTCCCTCTTTACTCCATACTCGTATGTTCTTTAACAAGTAAAAGATCTGTAATTTGTTAAACAGACAATTACTGTCACTGTTCTGTAGTTACAAAGCAAAACAGACTATACTGGAACAGTGTTCTATCATGACATACATACACTGTTTTCCATCTAACTTCTGCACAACCAGACAGCAACAGATAAGGATTGCAACTGTCATTTTCCCAACTGTAATTAACACCATCCATTAGTGATAGCTTAGGTCAAACTGCGTAAACTCTTCAGATTATGTCTTCCAAGGGAAAAACAATCTACTTTTTTTATTCCATCAAGGAGAGATTAAATAAATTCACAACCATTACACTGGTAAAAATCAGATTCTGACAGTAACAAACATTCAATAAACATTTTATTTCAATGCAAATAACCACAACATTCAGATATAGCAATGCTCATTTGTGCTGGGCCCTTTTGGGCTGTGAAGCTAGGGACCTCATTAGGATCATAATCATGACACACTGATTAGAGCAAGTATTTTGTGACAGTTTAGCAAACAAAAAATAACCACCACTACAAAGCTTATGAAAAGAGCAACTTGGTAAAAGTTTATCCCCATCTTTCAGAATAGGTGGTGAGGTTGTTTTGTTTTAATTTTTTTTTTTCTTTCTGTTTTTAAATATAACATAATGACATAAAGTTCCCAGGACAACCAAGTGTTTTTCATTAAGACCCTTTCCTGGTCTGGCTATGCCTATCCCCCTCCTGCTCCTTTCTCCAAGGCCTACAGCCTCACAACTCCCACCGCTCACATCTGTAGGACACAGAACACACATTTCTGTACATCTTTATCTGCACTTGCCCACAGAAGTCCATCAGTGCTTCTCCAAGTGCTGCATCATTCCAAAGGTCATCTCTGTCTGCCTCCTGGTACTACAATCGCAGACTTCACCCCAGTGGGTATTACCCAGGAATTTAATCCTGATAGTGCTACAGTACAATTCTGTCTTACAGAACTGTTAAACGTACACATCAAGGAGACAGAGCTCCGGCTTTCCTGTAAAAAAAAATCTTGTTGTGATCAGTTATGTCACAGCTCTGATGAAACACCAGCGATCTTCAAAAGACAAGATACCTCTGTAGAAAAGAGCTGCCTGAGAACTACTTTCACAACAGGAAAATACAGGAAAATGAACTATTTTATAATAAGCATTACAAAAAGAGACGTCTTCTTTCTGGCCTCACAGCTGTAGAACAATAGAAAAAGAAGTAGTAAAAAAAAAAAAGAAAAGCAGAACAAGCTCCGCATTTACAAGTAGAAGGATTATAACAAGGAAGGACACTTTAAAGCTTTCTCATACTTGCTGCTTCTCTCCTTCCACTTTTCCCTTTTCACGTGAAACCGTGTGCCTACATTCGTGCACACAGAAATCTGAGTCAGATGACACTGAAGGCAACATTCAGTACCTGCTTTTATGCTGCCGAATGAAACGTTCTGCTTGAAGCCGAGCATCCAAGCGGCCAGCAGGAGACTTGGCATAGGCTTTGTTTAAGCACAGAACTCAGGAACTCGGTCATCCTCCTCTGGAGCTGTTGTCCATTTGGCCACGAGCAACAGTGAGCACTCAGGAGCCTACATCTATCTGAGATATGTAATCTTACATCAGCATTCTGAAGGTCATCAAATAAGGGAATGAATTTCCATCAGCCTCCCCCTGACTTTCATGTTCTACAAGGTACACAGTGGAGCGCACTCAGTCATGGAGTGTTAGGAACTTCTGGGAGTGATACTGAACTAGCCACTGGACTGACAGATGAGTTTGTGGGTTTTTTTGGTTTTGTTTTTATCTGTTTGTCTAGTAGTTTCCTTATGGGTAAATCCACCTGCCAGCAAATAAATAATTTAAGAAGCTACTCGTAATTGCACCAAGGTTTGGATGTATCACCATTCACCCCATATGCAGTGAAGGCCAAGACCAAATGCCTTTCACGCTATGCAGGCACTGCTCCCAGGGATCAAGCATCATCAAATATGGCAGAAACCAAATGAATAGATGGGACGAAGAAAATAAGTGTTTTTCATAACAGCTTTAGCAAGAACTCGTAAGTTGCATTGATTATGCCCCAGGACAGGACTGAACGATGGTAATTCAGATGGGCTCCCCTGAAAAGATTGATCAATTTTCTGTCACGCTCAAGCCAGATCTTCACAAAAACTGTCGAGAAGGACTGAAATTCACCACCGATCTGAGCTTGCATGCGAGCTTTTACAACATTCATTGGGAAGAACAAGAATCCCAACATGGCACCCAACAGCCCTCCGCAAATGAAGTCATTAACCAAGTGAGTGCTGTAAGAAGTTGCTTCAGGCAGACACTGTTTAATAGGTCCTCTGAGGCCGAAGAAGAGTACATTACTGGGCCCATTTCGGAGCAGAATAGGCACCAATCCCCGATAGTACTCTCTCATCCCATAGACTTTCAGTACCTTGAAAGCCTGGTACGTGTTTGTGAACTTATCGTGGTGTTTGTAGTCCTGAAGCAAAGTCTGCACTCGCTCAAAGGGCGTAAGAACAGCTTCTGTGGTCCCTGCAAGCACTGCTGCCATGCTGCGTGTCAGGAGCTCAGGAGCAGTCGTGTGGCTGTGGAGCAAGGAGGAGAAATCCTCATACAAGCCGAACATGAGAGCCAGCGTGGTCGTCTTCTGCATCAAGGGTGGGAGGATGCCACGGTAGAGATTTCGAATGCCATCTTTCTGCAGCTGTTGTATTGCATCCTTTGTTTTCAGACCATACAGCTGCTGTCGAAAGAGGACCTTCTGGATGGGAAAAGTAACTGCTATGTTTGTGAATGCTGCACAGTAACCACACAGGTAATGTTTGCTAGAGGTAGCCGTAACGTCACTGCTTGGGTCTTCCTCTGAACTTCCTGGGGAAAAGCCTTCTGAACCCATCATACTGTTTTTCTTACTGTTGTATACCTCAGTCCTCTTTTCCTACATCAAAAAACAGAGAAGAATGAACATGAGCAGAGCTGCAGATGGCCCAGCTTCTTTCTCTCACACTAGCACCCAGCACTGCACATCTGAGAAGAGCCCTTAAAATCTGAAGAACAGTCAATGCCAGATCTTTCAGATGTTACACCCTTTTCTGCAGGGGTCTCATAAGCACAGGTTTTCCTCCTGGTGTTTCCTAACTGATAGAGAAACAAAGAGGGAAACAAAACGACATATGAATCTCTTGTGTGCTACATTACAGCTGACAATGGGAAGCTCACCCATTCGACTTCCCACACAGCACACCAGGGAATTCAGATAGCAAATGGTATGCACTCAGCCTGTTAACAGCAAAAACACAGCACTGAGGGTGGAGGCAGAAGAGAGTCAAAGGAAATAACAAACCAACCCATCCACCCACACAGTATTTCTATATAGTCTGATCCGCAATCATAGGATTAATTTAAAGGACAGGCAAATTCTAACACAACTTTGCACATTTCTAGCAGGCCCAGGTAGTTAACCTGCAGGTTTATCTGCAGAGGAAGATGCACCTGTAACCCCTGCTTGATTTTAATCACCTGCAGAGAAGGCCTCAAGCTACGGCAGCTCTGAGGGACCCCTGAACAGCAAACGCTTCTCTACAGAGCAGAGAAGCTCCAGAGTGACCCTTAGTAGGCAGTACATGAACATCATTTAAACAGGGATGACTGACTGAACAGTTACAAAGTGCTGACAGCCCCTGGCAACAAAGTGCGTGCAATTTCAGAGGCCTTACTCACTCCAGGAGCCAGTCCACCAACTAGGCAAGAGCTGCCACTTCTCTCACTACAGAAGCCTGTACAAACATGAAGCCATCCTAGAATGGCCTGGGTTGAAAAGGGCATCAAAAATAATCTGGTTTCAACCCCCTGCTATGTGCAGGGTCACCAACCAGCAGACCAGGCTGCCCAGAGCCACATCCAGCCTGGCCTTGGATACCTCCAGAGATGGGGCATTCACAACCTCCTTGGGCAGCCTGTTCCAGTGCCTCACCACCCTCTGAGTGAAAAATGTAGTGTTTGTGTTGATAAAGAAATCTCACACCAGAGAAAGAATTCAGTTTAGATGGCTCGTGCACTATGCCATATACACACCAGCTCAGAGCACCTTCTGGATGACAGCAGTTCTATCTGCACGCATCGAAGCAGCCACACCTGCAGGTACACTGGTCTCAGTTGCTCCTCCACTGGAAGGGGAACAGTGGGACATGAGAGCTCAGCTCAGTTTGGAAGCGTCACCAGAACATCACCGTTACACTGAGCATTCAAAAGCCTGTGCCCAGGACATCAGTTTTCCCCCAGAAATAAGCTAATAAGAGAGATGTTTGGTTCACTTCCACAGCCACTCTGGTGGAGCTGTTGGATGCAGAACAATGCACAGTGCAGTGACACCCCTAAAGATGAGCTGTATGGTTCAGAGCTGGGGAGCAGCAGGTGTCAGGCACTGCGAGTTGCCCAGCAGTGCTGGGGGCAGAACCCTGTCTGCAGACAGCCTGCAAGCACACACCACCCGCTGATGATACAGCGCAGAACCCACTTTGTTACAAGCCAATAATCAAAGTATCAGCTCTTAAAGAGAGAGGTTAGGATCTCTTGTACTGCCTCTACACCCCGAAGTTGCTACAGCATTCTGTGAGCTTGTCCCCATGTGAGCGTGTGGACACATGCGGTCCTTTCTGACTGTGTGCCCCCACTCAACCTCCACTCCCCTGACATGCACACGTGGCTCTTCTGCAGGACAGCAGCCCACCTACCCTGCAGCTCACTGGCTCAGAAAGGCACAGGGGAAAGAAAAGAAAGCTATGATTTTTTAACCTGATACCGCCTTTTCACAGAATCATAGTCAATGATGTTGAAAAAGAACAGAAATAATATTTTGATTTTTAAATGGAGAAGACCTGTAAGATCATAGGATTAGAAGAGGCCTCAGAATATCAAGTCCAGCTCCCCTGCTGAAGCAGGTTTCCTACAGCAGGAAAACATCCAGGCAGGTTTGAATATCTCCTGAGAAGGAGACTCCACCACCTCTCTGAACAGCCTGTTCCACTGCTCCATCACTCTCACAGTAAAGAAGTTCCTCCTGTATTCCAGTTTCTGCCCATTGCCTTTTGTTCTAACAGCACACCACTGAAAAAAAACCTACATTTTAGACCATTACTACTGCTGTGCACCACCTCACCCATTTGTCTCCCTCCTCTCTGCAGATATCTACAACTATTTACCAGATCCCCCCTCAGCCTTCTTTTCCCCAGGCTGAACAGCCCCGGGTTACTCAGCCTCTCCTCACACAGGAGATGCTGCAGGCCCTTTATCCTCTCTGCAGCCCTCTGCTGGACTCCTTCCAGGAGATCCCTGTCTTTTTTGAACTGGTGATCCCAGAACTGGACACGCTATTTTAAATGTGGCCTCACTATGGCAGACAAGAGAGTTAGGATCGCCTACCTCGACCCGCTGGCCGTGCTCTTTTAATGCACCCAGACAGCCCACAGCCTCTACTGGTGCATATGGTAATTCTCATCCAGGCGTAGGACCCCACACTCGCTCTTGTTGAAGATCATCAGGTTCCTCTTCCCCACTCTCCAACCTGCCCAGGTCTCACAGGAAAGCAGCACAGCCCCCTGGTTGTGCCAGCCACTCCTCCCAGCTTCGTACTACAGGAAACTCGTTAGGGTGCACCCTATCCCTTCCTCCCGGTACCCGACCAAGGCACTGAACGAGAGCGGCCCGCCCCTGCCGCGCCCACTGAGCCGTGCCCGTCGGTGCCGCCCCGCACGGCTCCGGTGCAGCCGCACACACGGCGACCCCGCCGCTCCCCGCACGTTCCGTCCTACCGCCCTTCGGAGCACTTTCTCCCCATTCCCCACCTGAGCTTCCCCCCGACCCCCGCCGTCCTCCCTCCGCAGCCAGCGCAGCTCCGCCTCCCGCCCCCAGCGGAATTCCCGGCCGGCCTCCCGCCGTTCTCCGGACTCGCTCCGCCGCCCCGTCCCGCCCGCAGCCGCAGCACGGCGCTCCTCACCGCATGTCCCGTCAGGCGGCGGCGGCCGGGGCGGATCCCTCGCCTCGCGGGAAGGCCTCGGCGAAGGCGCGGCGGCGCAGCGGGCGGCGGGCGGCTCCCGCGCTGCCGGACGGACAACGACCTGCGGGCAGAGCGGACACGGCGTTACGGGGAGCGGAAGCCGCGCGGCGCCTCCCCG